AACGCCCCTCGCACTTGTAGCGGAAGCGCATCCCGCGCTGCTTGGGCTGCTCGATGATTTCTACGAAGGGCGTCGAGCTCGGCACTGGCTCTGTGGGACACACCCGGGCTGTCACGGGGGGGCCTGGCCTCACCCCCAGGCTGGGGACCCCATCCCAGCCCTGGCCGCCCCGCAGCCCCAATACTGCAGCCTCTGTTCCACTTGGCTGCTGGCACGTCCCACCCCAGAGACAGCTGCATTTCAGCCTCATGTCTCCTGGGCCCACCCCAGAAGCAGCCATGTCCTTTTCTACCCAGCCGCCGACACCCTCCGCCCCAGAGCTGGCTGCACCCCAGTGCCCGGCTTCGTACCCCCAGCTTGTGACCCACCCCAGAGCTGGCTGCATCTGTTCTACTCAGCTGTCAACAGAGCCCGCCCCAGAGCCAGCTGCAGCACAGACTAACCAGGACAATGGCTCCTGCCTTGGGAATTCCTGGCTTCAGGGGCTGGCCCAAGGGTGATAGGAGCAGCCCCTGGCACCCCCAGCATAAGACCTAGGGTGCCCAGAGGGAAGAGACTGCCTAGCCCGAGCGCCCCTGGACCAGGCTAATCCCAGCACTCTCTGAGCCAGACTCTGGGCTGCAAGTCACCTGGGGAAACCCTGGGAGAGTCACAGCCCTGGAGCAGTGGCAGCCAGGTCTGGGGGGCATCAGGGCTGGGGATCCAGGTCTCTGCCGTGGCTGGCTCTGGGGGGGCCACCCCCCCTGGCTGAGTAGAATAGATGCAGCCAGCTCTGGGGAGGGGGGCGTTGGTGGCTGGGTAGAACAGATAGAGATGGCTCCAGGTGGGGGAGGTCCAAGTGCATTCCCCTCACATGGCTCCACGGCCCATGTGGGGGGAGCGGGGATGGCTGGGAGCCCGGACGTATGGGTTCTCTCCTGCTCTTTGCCCTTGGACTGCTCTCTGTCGATGGACTTACCCATGTGCCAGTCCGGCTGGAGGAGAAGAGGCAGCAGATCTGGAAGGAGACACAGGCAAGAGGAGGTTAGTGACCTGGGGGTGACTGGGGGGGTCCCCGCCCC